CCGGCAGTGTCCTTCCCAATCCCCAGCTGTCCCTATTCCGCAGTCTGGTCTACTTTCCTTTTCGGTCCCCACATGAGCGAGAACAAGCGAGGTTTGTATTTCTACATCGAGCCCACTTTGCTTAACCAAAGCCCTCCAGTTCTGACCGTTTTGCTGCCAAAGGCAGGGTTCTGGTTTTTGATGGCTGCATAATTTGGCGGTGGGCACCTCGACTGATTCCGTACCGTAGCCGCTGGGAGGAATGCTCTAGCGAACCTGGCGCATTTCCTTTTCCTTGACGTATTCAAGGATGAGATCACCGGACCAGGCGCTGTCTACCCTGTTCTCCACGCGCCTGTGCTAACTAACTTAGATTCCCACCGACAGCGAATAGGGATTCCTTTTTCTCCACCTCCTTGTCACATTTGTTGTTGTGCTTCACCTTGGTGGTAGCCATTACACCGGGGGTGACACACTCACTCATTATTGCACCGTGTCCCTTAACTTCTTGTCCTTAAGCTTTGAGTTCTTTATATATTCTGGGTATTAGCTAGCAAATATTTTCTTTGCTCTTCTTAGTTTTTCTCCAGAGTCTGGAGAAGGGACTTCCTTTCCAGCCGCCGTCACTCATACCTGGCTGTAGCAGTCTTGGGCGAGGGGTTCCCCTCAGCAGTAGGCAGCCCCAGTGATGCGCAGGCCATGACAGGTAGTGGCTCAGGATGTGGTACAGCAGTGCTGCCCTGGTGGCCTTGGGTGTGGCCTTTGGTGGCTTCATGCCCCCACAGGATTCCACCTGATGCTGGGCCTTTCTTTGTCTCGTGCTGTGGTCTATGAGATAAACTGCCTTTGTGTGTACACATCTTCGTCATCACCACCACTCCACTGCCACCACTGTCCCGCTTTCCAACGTGACCAACACATCAACTACGGGGGGGGGGGGGGGGGGATGATAAACTGAGCTTAGGCTGCCCTCTAGTGTCAGAAGAGCAGAAGTAACTCCAGGCACAGAGAAAATAAGTAGGCTGCGTAGAATTTCTGGAAAGAGAAGCACAGAACCAGATGAGGAGACTTAATCCAACTCTTCGGTCCGGATCAGGAGCCTTGAAGGTGTTGTCTGTGGTGTGGTCACAGACGACACTTCACCCTGCAAGGCCCAAGCGCATTACACACCGAGAAGCATCATGAACCTGCAGGGAACCATTTTTTCAAATGACAGAAAAAAAAAATAAAGCACCAGAAACTGGTCATATAGTAACCACTGCGGGCAGGCTCTCAGATAAAGAATTTCAATGGTTGTTTTAAGGAAACGCAGAGAGCTTCACGAAGACACAGGAAGCAGTTCATCTGGCAGGAATATTTATACAGCTATTTGGAACCCTTTTAAAAACCAAACTAATCCTTGACCTGAAAGATACACTAAGGGAAATTTAAAATCCCCTAAAAGGCATCACTAGAAGAGTAGATCAAAGAGAAGAAAGAATTAATGATCACAAAGATGGGACTAAAAATGCACAGGTGGTGGAGAAAATTAGAACAAAGAAGAAAGAGGAATTTTAGATGCTTATGGTAGACTTGGCACGGCATCTAATCAGCAGCTATTTGGATTACTAACATCCAAGTGAGACTTGAGCAAACCGGTGGGATAGAAAATTTATTCAAAGAAAGAATAACAGAAAACACCACAAACAGAAAAGGATACAAATATCCGAGCACAGGAAAGTCAAGTCTGCCCTGAGATGCAGTACACTCAAGTTCTGAAAGGTAAAGAGGATTCTGAAGGCCTCAAGAGAATAAGACCCAACACTAACTAGGGTGTTCTAATTTTCTTGCAGGCCAGGAGAAAATGGAAATTTTCATAGTACTTCTGGAAAAGAGCAAAGGTATTCCTTTATTTTTTATTTTTTTGTAGAACCGGGGATTGAACTCAGGCCCTTGTGCTTGCCAGGGAAGCGTTTATTCCACTGAGCCATCTCCCTGGCTCCCAAGGTATTCCTTTAGAAAGTAATGAGAGATAAAGACATTCCCACACAAAAGCTGAGAGAACGCATCGCCACCAGCTCTGTGCTACAAGAAATGAAGTAAGAGTTTTTCAAGCAGAAAGGGGAGACATTAATAGGAAAAAAAAAAAAAAAAAAAGCACTGCAATAAGTGTAACCCACCAGTAAGAGTATCCACCCTGAGAGACGCAAGGTGTTATATATATTATGTAAATGTGGTGCACACGACATTCCTATCCTTTCTATGAAAAATAAAATAAGAGGGAGCATGCATGCTGGGTTTGAGGCAGGCAGAATTTCCCAGCTTCCCGTGACTTGGAATTAAGACACCTGAAGCGAAGCCACTTAACCTGGATGGCGGAGAATTTATGATGGTCTGCATTGCATAGACTGACTTGGAAAGACCCGGAGATTCAGGTTAGTTGAACACCAGGCTAGAAATGCATCGGCTCGGCACCTACAAAAGGGCACACAGTGGAGCTCAATAGAGGAGCAAGAGGAGATGCGGCGGGAGGGAAGAGGCATCGTGGGCCAAAACGGGCACGGAAACAGACCCGGAGCAGAAAGGCGGATGCTTAGCTCTGCTGCGAGCTACACAGCACGCTGACGCGCTGGCGTGTCAAGGACCGCAAGATGCCCACTGCGCATGCGCGTGTGCATTGGCCTACTTTCCAACCACGGGTGCGTCTTCGTTTCTTTAGTGCTCAGACGAAATACTCCACAGCCAAAGTTAAGGGTGGAAAGGTTTATTCAGCTCACAGTCTGCAGAAGTTTCAGTCCCCAACTGGCTGGCTCTAAGGCAGGCTAGCATGACAGACGTTGCAGACCCCAAACAGCTCATGGTGGGCAGAGCATGGTGAGTAGTGAAGCAAGCAGAGGGGTGATCCCCGCTCTATTCCTTACAATTTCTGCAGGCTTCTCAGGGTTGGTAGCAGCCACACCGTTAATCCTATTGCCCTAAGCCTAGCATTACACCAGGAATCAATTCCAGCTTCACACAATCTAGATCCAGCCACCTCTGTAACAGCCCCACCTATGGCCCCAAAGGCTCCGGGAGGACATCTAGACCCAAGCCAGGACAGGGTTGGAAAGAGTGAGGACTTCCTTTTTACCTGGCATTTCCAAACTGGGGCTTGGCCCAACTCTCAGGGACCTGACCCTCCACAGGGAGCAACCCTCAGGAGCTACGTGTTACCAGCTCTCTTGGTTCCAAAAGGTGGACGGGGCCTATTGTCCAGAGAAAATGACTTTCAGTCGTTTTTAAAGATCTAAAATGTGTGTCCCTGAAGACATTGACATGGATGAAGAATCTGTAGAAATGTTCGACAGATTAAAATCTAGTGCTAATTTTCCTAGTAGCGGTGTAATTTCAGCATCACCTCTGGCACATGTAGCTTTGTGGGCTGCTTAGATGGAAGTCACTGGAAACAATCCCCAAGTTGTAGACTCATCAATGGATTTTATTTTGAAAACAGTGCTTTGCAGCCTAGAAATCATGATGTCCAAAATGGCCAATACAAAATTGAAAACTACCTAAGAATCAGAAATCATTTTTTTTTACACAGACTACCAGAGACTCAAGCAGACTCAAGAACTGGACAGGCTTGTAGACCATCAACGCTACAGACCTGAGGAACCTCGCCATGGGGAACAAGGCAGCTAAAGTCATTTCAGAACTATGTACAATTCAGATTTCTCATGATTCAAAGAGAAAAATAAAGGACAGATAGTAGGAATCAGGGAGACAAATCTTTTGCAAATGGGAAAAAGATCTAGAAATGGAAGGAGGGGAAGTTAAGGAAGAGGAACAGGAAGTAAGAAGCATTAATTAATGTGTTATGGGCATAAACCAAATCCCCATGGCAAATGCAATCACTACGTACTGTGACTGTGCACTAATAAAAATTTTTTAAGTCAATTCATAATGGGCAGAGAATGGGCCACATCAGCTCCAGGGAGTTAGGGAATGCTGCATAGCTATCAATGACCAAGTGCAGTGTTTCTCTCACGGTAGAATACTGAAAAAGTGGGAACCTTGTGGTCATGGGGTGACACTTTCCTACCTCTTCTTTGTGTGGGGGCTGGAACATTAAGGTTTGAAGTGAATTTAGTGTTGTGAGTTGTGATAGGAATCTCCCAAGTTCAACAATCCCTCCAAGAAATCCGACCACCCAGTTAACAAGCAGCCACTTTTGGAAGCGGCGTCGCATGCTATAAGTGAGGAGATGCAGCAAAGTGCTTTCACTGGCGGGACGAATGACCAGCGGGGACCCGGGTGAAGACCTCCGGGAAAACACTCTAAGGGGCATCCAGGTAAGCGTCTGTTGGCCGAGATGCGACAAGACAATATGAACAATATTCACTTCGGCCACTCACTTGGGGAGTCTCTGATAAGGACTGCTGCAGAACCACCACCACTAACTAGAAGAATTGGTGACAGAATTTTCCGGAATCCCATGGAGCATGAAGCTACCTGAATGGGAGTCAGTTTGAAGAATTTCAAGAAAATAAGAGAGGAGAAACTTCAACTTCAGACATCAGGGAGCAACCACGTTGCCCTGGTTGGCGACCTAGTGAGCGCTGGCTCAGAAAGACAGAATAAATGCGTTGGGTCAGACCTCGCTGCAGAGAGAGATTAACAAGGAAAGGCCGCCAGGTGCCTTTCAACCTTCTGGGTAGAAATACTCGTGTGATTTTTACTCCCCATCTGGTCACCTGTAAATAATATGGTGAAGCAGTTGACAAATGTCTTTTGGGCTACGTAGTCATCACTTTTAAAGAAAAAAAAAGATGTATACTTTAATCTAACTCCAGAGGCAGCGTGTTATATTCTCTTTGATACCTTCCTTTAAGGTGATGTGAAGGAACTTGAAGTAATCAGCACCGAAACTCACTTGCCCTTGCTAGAAAGTGGAAGAAAAAACCACGAACAGCAGTGTTTTAGTTACTAAGCTAAAATTTAAATTTCTGGGTCTTTTGGGTTATTTGCTATATAATTTATCCAATTTTCAGATAAAAATCTAGGCTAAGAAACATAGTACTGTAACTGTTCATAATATGTATTTGTAGTACCCTTAGTTAAGTGTAAGTGATCTAATTAATTAAAATTACATTCTTTTCAAATAGGCTTAACAAATGGAACATTCCATATAAACATGGAGATTATAGTTAATCTCTCTGCTCACATAATGTTTTTTTTTTTGTAAAAACAGAACGAACTGTTCCACACTGGTAGAAAGACACAGTTATTGTTTCAATGTTTGTGTTTTAGGATTCTGTCTATTTTCTTTTAAAATTATGAACACGTACTTGTGCAAATGATTTGAAAAAGTGATTTTGCCATTTCTAAAAGGGTACCTTATGACAGAATCCCATTAGCCAACAGGTACTGACATAGAAAGATGTCAGAGCTAAATTAAGTATAGGGGCTGGAGAGATGGCTCAGTGGTCTAAAGCACCTACTTGAAACAAGCTTGGCAAAGCACAGGGACCGCGGTTCGATCCCCCAGCACCACATGCCAGCCAGCCCACCCCCTGGTGGGCTGAGCTGGCCACACACACACACAATAAATAAAAATAAATAAATAACTAAAAAAAAATGATTAAAAATAAAAAAATAAATAAATAAATAAATTAAGTATAAAATCAAGTGGCAAAGCACTATGTATAACAGGAACCAAACCAAGGTGTATTTTGTATTTGTACAGAACAAAAGATATGGACAGAGGACTGGCCAGATAGCTCAGCAGACCAAAGCGCCTGCTTAGGCAGAGTGCAGGAGCCAGGGTTCAATCCCCCGCCCCATGCCCCCAGGGTGGGTTGACACATTGACTGAGACTGGGCGTGGTGGCACACGCCTGTAGTCCCAGCACTGGGGAGGCTAAAAACAGGAGAACCACTATGAGTCCGATCTGTGTAGTGAGACCACGTAGACTCTGTACTAAATACAAAAAAGAAAAAAGATATGGACAGATGTCTGCACCAAATTATTTTTTTTCAAGAAGTATGTATTTATTTTTTCTTTTTTTTAAATTGTAGTTTATTATTTATTTATTTATGTGTGTGTGTGTGTGTGTGTGTGTGTGTGGCCAGCTCAGCCCCCCAGGGGGCGGGGCTAGCTGGCATGTGGTGCTGGGGGATTGAACCGCAGTTCCTGTGCTTTGCTAAGCTTGTTCTAAGTAGGTGCTTTAGACCACTGAGCCATCTCACCAGCCCCTGCACCAAATTATTAAATGTGTTTTTTCCTTGAGGGACTGGGAGCATCCCTTCACTTTTTTAAAGATTTTTTTCTGTTTGAAATTTTTATAAGTATGTATTACTTTTGAAATAAAAAATTTTACAAAACATTTTACTGATTTAAAGGCAAGTTCAAACCCCTGCCAAAAACTGTGTTGCAGCTTTCATTTTTCTAACCCAAGAAGGCAGAGCAGTTAGCCTTCCCGGTGCCAGTGGGAAATGCAAGTGTTTTTATATTTTACCTGCTTTGTAAATGAAAAATATTTCTGAGTAGTAGCTGTCTGACAGGTAAACCACGCTGTACCTTGCTTCCAAATAAACACTTCTGATTTTGTGAAATGAAATACCAAGTATGTGTCAACTCTTCCAGTCAAGTCTGCCCTTGTCACTTTTCTGTAAAGGCCTTTATTAACCTAGTATTTCACACATCTGTCAAACCCGGGTCCTCGCACTTGCCAGGCAGGCGCTTAGACTGCCGAGCTATCTCCCCAGCCTGGAAGGTCTATTGTTAACAGCAAATGGGGTATTTTATGACAGAGAGCCATTTGAAATCAAAACTGTTAAAATTATATTTTTATTGTATTTTCTAAGAGACAGTGTGTTCTCCTAACCTCTGTTGACTACTATGTAAGTGATAGCCCGTTAAAGCATTGTGAATTTAAAGAATTTCAAAAGTAAGTAATGAATGCCCTGTTTTCTGTTTTGTCCTGTAAATCCTGACTCTCCTGTGCACTGCCTTCCATTTAGGCTGGTCGTAAAGTCCTTAGGGCATATTTGATCTGTGTCAACAAGCACCACGTTTAAATTTACATTTAGAGCATTCCACAAGGGGGAAGGTTTTTCTGTTCTGGAACCCTCAGTGCCTTAAAACTCTTCTTTTAAAAGCTGTGTGTTTAGCCACTCTGACTGGTGGGGGCTTCTGGGACTGAACTCTGAGGAACATTCCAGAAAGACGCGGGCAGTGGCCCAGAGCTGCCTCTAGGCTGCCAAGCAGAGACCCTGGAGATCACCACCCCTGCGAGTGCATACAAGACGAGCTATCTTAAAAACAGACCAAAAAATACGTCTTCCTTTCAGTCTAATAAATGTAGCTTTGGGGGGGGGGAAGCTGTGTGTTTGAAATTAAATAAGAGCTTTTTCCCCCTCTCCATGAGTTGTAGAAGTTAAAGCATGAAGCTGACGTGGCTAACAAGTTTACTAAGAATTGTTTAGAAATGCTGCTCCTCGAGTTCTTAAAATCACTCCGCACTTCAACTTTCAGTTAGATTTTTCGGGAGATTTAGCAGAGTTTCTCTGCATGATGCTAGCAAACAAAACACTACTCAGTCTTTTCCATCTAATTCTGTAAAAATTGATCAAGCGCAAGTCAAAAATATAACCAGATCCAAATCCCCACGCTGCCAGCAGCTCTCAGGAGCTGCACGCGGGCCTCCTTCCTGTCCTTGGCTGGCCGGGACGAAGGCAGAAGCACCAGGCGGCAGGAGGGCCAAGGTGCTGAAAAGCTGGTCGAGGCCAGCGGAAGGCAGAGAGCAGAGGACAAGCCCAAAGGAACGGGAGGCCCGGGACGTGCACAACTTCCAATCCCGTGTCTCCGTGACGCCTTCCGTCTCTGGAGGCCCAGGCGCCCAGTGAACCCGCTCAGAAATGAATGCGTCAGTGCTTCAGCCCCTCAGGGAGGTTAGCACCTCCAGGAGGATGGGCCAGCCCGGCAAGGGGGAGCTGTCTGCATCCCATCCATATGCGCGTTTAATATATGCAAATAAGAAACATAGAAAGAAAAAAGATATAAAGAAAAAATAGAGAAAATACTGATATGGGCAGGGGTTTTCTAGGTAGGGGTACGGTGGGGTTTTCTGGGTAGGACCATAAAACCACAAAAAATAATAATAAAACATGATTATATCATAGTATCTATCTTCTGTGCAGCAAAGAAATCAACATAGAGAAGGTACAATCTATGAAATGGGAGAAAAGACTGAACATCTATTCATCTGACTGAGGATTAATAGTCGTAACACATAAATAACTCAAACTTAGCAGCAATAAAATAAGTAATTCAACTAGAATGGGCAAAAGGTAGAAGATATATATATATATATATATATATATATATATATATATACTCACTATCATTAGCTATCAGGAATTGCAAAGAAATGTTACATTCACCTAACTCCAGTACAAATTCTTTGACACTTTTTGTGTGTGTGTGGTGCCGGGGATAGAACGCTAGACCTTATGCTTGCCAGGCAGGCACTTATGCCACTGAGCTGTCTCCCTGGCCCCTCCAGTACGAATTCTTTGAAAATAGCACTATTCTTCTCAGTTATTATTATGGTTGGACCTCAAATGTCCCCCCAAATCTCATGTGTTTGTAAGGTCTCTTCCTCTGGTGTGAATGAGAAGCAGAAGAGGGATAAAGGAAGCCTTCGCTGCTCAGCAGAGGAGGGCTCCAGAAGGGAGGAGCCTTCAGGGCAGGAGGCAGGGAGACGAAGAGTTTAGCGGGCTGGACGGGGGGTAGAGCTTGCATGGGCTGGACCATGTCACACCAGATGCTGATTGGAGAAGGCTTGGTGCATGCACCGGAAAAACAAAAAAGAAAGTTGAAGTTAACCAGGGGGAAGAACAGGGAGTAAGTCAGTCTGGGAGTGACATGCTGTTGGTTTTGGATCCCCATGCCATGCTGAGTCCCAGCCATGATGACCCGGCAGACTTTTGCATGGACACAGACCTGCCAGTGCGGAGGCTTGGTCCCCAAGGCAGCAGTGTTCAGGCTTGGGGTCTTTGGGCATTGACTGGACTATGAGGTCTCACCCTGCCAATGTACTAACAACCCACTGACGGCTAAGTGGTGCGCTGGGACCTGGCAGGAACTCTATGAGGCGGGAGGTAGCTGGAGGAAGGAATCACGGGCGGGCCGGCCAGGGAAGGGCACACTTTGTCTCTGGCCCCTTCTGCTCTCTGTACTTCTCGGTTGCTGTGAGCTGAGCCGTTTTCTCCACCACTCACTCCCACCCCCTGGTGTTCTTCCTCACCACAAGCCAGGAACACAGAGCCAAGGGACCAGGAACTGAAACCTCTGGAACCACAAGACAATAAACCTTTCCTCCTTTAAGGTGTTTGGTTCAGGTTTTTTGTCACCGTAACACAAAATGGCCGTATCACTCCTGGAATTTTAATTTGCTCTTTTAAAAAATTTTAAATAGGAATGGCCTTTATGGTAAAATAATCAACACACTTAAGAAACATGGAATGATTATTTAAACTGTCAATGATAGTTTAGTCTAATGAGTATAAAAGTTAATTACTACACACCTGTATTATTTAGAGCAATTTTACTGCATCAGTATACAAAATGCAGAGTTCTATTTGAAAGGTATACTTAACTGTATCTTCACAGGTAGATGTTTGTGTGGACACAGCCATTGATTTTTCTGCCATGACAGACTTAAAGAGCTGAAACATAGAGGC